CAAATGACAAGCGAACGGGCAAAAGGATGCCAGCTAGCTCAAAGACTTCCGGCCTTGTTCGTCAGAAGCGGCGGCAAAAGCTCACAAAGAACATCGCGTCCGCCATCTTGGCGAGAGATGCGAGTTTGATGCCAGCAACAGGCAGCAGGCAACAGGAACAGGCAACTAGGCAACTAGCAAACCAGCAACTAGCTAGCAACTCGCAACTCGCAACTAGCAACCAGCAACAGGCGACATTGATAGTGATTGAAGGACAGCTGTTCACACTAGCCAAGAGCGAAGAGGCCAGCGGGCACAACGAAATGTCAAATTAGAATGCGAAACGTGTTGGCAATGGGAATGTTGATGGTTGGGAGCTCTGAGTTGTTGTTGTAGTTGTTGCAGCTGGACAATGGAGTTTCTAGCTGGACTTGGCGGCACCTTTGGCTCTGTGGCATGCAAAGTAGCCAGTTAGTCAGATAGTCGGGTTAGCCAGCGAGGCGACAATGGCAACTGCTGCTGCAGTGCAAATTAATTGAAGCATCGCAGCAATGTCAACGACAGCAGCAACATCACGTGTTGCATGTTGCATTTGGCGTAGGCAGTCCAAGTCGAAGTCAGAGTCAGAGTCAGAGTCGGAGTCGGATTCGAAGTAAGAGTCGGCTTTGGGGGCCAGTGGCAAGGCACATTCTTATAATTATGTCATTTAATTAAGCAAAGACAGTTTGCCGTTGCCACGACTAATTAAAACATCGCGCCAGCAGCAACAGCAGCAGCAGCAGCAGTAGCAACTGTGGCAGTAACATGTGCAACGCGGGCGGTTGCAAAAAAAAAAAAAAAAAGAACAGAAAAAAATAAATCGCCATATGAATGACCGGCCACTGTCGAATGCAATAAACAATATGCAACATCAGGCACAATAGCAACAACAGGCACAACAACAAACAGTTTGCCGCTGCATCATACGATGTAAAGAATGCTTCCAAGAATTTGGGTCATAATTAATGTGGCATGATTTCAAGACATTTTAATCAAAGCGAATTGAGAGGGCAACTACAGTAACAGCAAGAACAGCACAGCAGCAACAGCGACAGCACAGCAGCAACTGCACAGCATAGCTCAGCGGCAGCAATTGTTGAGGCAAGCTCAAGGTTTGTAATACCTTTGAAAAGTGTCACAGACATATACACACACACATACACACACACATACACATCTTACACACGCAAAGCGAGCGCATTTAAAGTCACATCAATCATACGCAGCGGTGGCCCAGCTGTTCAATTGCAATACCATAACTCATTTTTATAGGCCGCCGCCACGCTCCCAGTCGGCCCAGGTTGGCCGAGGTTCGCTGAAAACTTGCGCACCGGGATTAAGATTTGCGGTTGAGATTCCGGCCCATGCCCAGGCTCAAGTCGCAGTCAGTAAATTACAACAACTATTACACACACTCACAGAGGCGCACAACATTTCTTGTGGCCGTGCCCGACTGTCTGCTGATATTGCTGCTGTTGTTGTTGTTGTTGTTGCCAGTTTTGCTGTTGCTGTTGCTGTTGCTGTTGCCAGTGTTGCTATTGCCTGCAGCCTGTGGCCTGTCTATGTCTATGGCTTTTGTGCTTTTGTGTTGGCCGTGTTGTAATTTCTTGGAAATTTCTGTTTTATGCGCACACAACCTGGGCCCGAGCGCGAAATTTATGAGACTGGAGCGCACCAAGTGCAACACCTGGTAGCCAGGAAGCGCAATCGCTTGCCTTCACTTGCCTCGAAGGCTCAGCGAGTTGCGCAAAAATTGCATTGGCATTGCATTTCGCCTAAATGGACTTTGATATCCCTGCTGAATGGGCCCGCATCCATTTGATATCCCTTTTGTGACTTTGCCACTGTGCGTGACATTTGCGTTAAGTGCGTCAAGAGTTGTGTGGGAATTTATTTTATAAGTCCCAGACACCGATCTGCACACACACACACACACATTGACACACACGAACTCACAAACTGACTGGCAAACTGGCAAACTTTTCATTTGTCCGATTTTGTCAACGCGATAAGCGAACAAAGTTGCAACAACAAATGAAAATGCACGAAGCACAAAATATTGCCAAAAAGGCGGACTGCTTTCCACATCTGTCCCACTCTCTCCAATCACTTCTAATATGCAATTGTGCGAGTGCAATAGATATATGCACAACCAACGCTGTTAATCCATGTGTATTTGTTTTTATATTGCTTAAGGTCCCTCGTGATTAAATTGTATTTGAACTGTTTGCCAATTAAAAGTACATTTATTCCCTAAAAATAGCAAAGCAGCAAAAATTCATTCTATATTTTATTTATCAAAATGCGCATTTCTTTGCTTAAAAGTATTTATGAATAATCCGCACTGTTTTAGCATAATTTATATCAAAAGAAAAACCTTGAATTAGTTTGAATAAAGATTATTAAAAAAATATAAATTGCGAAAATTATTATTTTCTAGATGATTAATTTTTCAATTGCGCGAATTTGTAAGGATTTAAGAAATTTTATTGACATTTATGATCAATGTTTGCAGATTAAGACGAAATATAAGATACTCATATTTGTAAGTTTGTTAATTAAATCATTTTTAATTTTAATGGTAATTTGAGAACGGAATTCATAAATAATTCAAGAACAGTTAAGAGCACATGCAATTCATGCTATCCTTTTGTGTTAAGTATCCAACATTGTGGAAAATAAATAACAAGACGATAAAAAAACTCGCAAAGTTTGTCAAAAAGTTTTAATGTGGCCATATTGTAAGCTATATATATATAGAATATATATATATTTCTCATCGAAAAGGCAACTCAGAAATAAGAAATGAGCAACGACAATAAAACACACAACGATAAAAAAAAAGAAGAAGAAAACAACAAAGTTATTGCCAAATTTTCGGCATGTTTGCTTTTGAAATTTAAATTTCACATGGCTGTTGCTTTTGTTGTTGTCGTCTTTATGGCTTGTAGCATCATAAAAATCTGTGTGTGTGTGTGTGTGTATGTCGTGTGTATTGAGTGTGTGCGTTGTGTGTAAGTGAGCGCGTCAAAAGGCATTCAAATGCATTTGCACATAAGCGCAGCAGGCGTCTAAATGTTTATGTGTTTGTGTGTGTGTGTGTGTGTAAATGAGTTAGCCGCCCCCTCACTGCCACATTAGTATTTTACATGCTGGTATTTAGGCCATATCAAAATGTAAGCCGAGCTGAGCTTATAGTCAGTCATAATGACAACTAAATTGAGTTACTGTTAAATTCAGTTTTTGACAACTCGCAGGCAACTCAGACTCTCATCCGAAATGTGACACATGCAGACTAATGAATTTTAAAATCAACGCTCGCCACAGGTGCCCCACGAGGAGCACGAGCACGAGCACGAGCAGCAGCAGCAGCAGCAGAAGCTCCAGCTGCTCGAAGAGCAGCTATAGTCGCATCAGTTGAGCAGCCGACAAACTGTCTGTCAAAATGGCAAACAAAGACAGCGATTTGAATGCGCGTTTTGAGTGCATGAATGAATTACAGCAGACAGCAACCAGTAACCAGCAAACCAGCAACCAGCAGCCAGATCAGACGGATCAGTGTGGAGTCGTCGCAGAGACACACATGGAGAGATTCGAGTGGCATGAAATCAAATCAAGCATCAATAAAGTCGGCATATGAATAACATGAATTAAACATAAATGCAAACGGGGCAATGGGGCTAAGGAGTCGGCTTCAAAAATGCTGATTGATCACTTGCAGCACTGCCACCACCCGCTTTGGTTGCCCTCCGCAGCATACCGCAGCGCAAAATTTTAAATTAAAATTTTCGCACACTTGAAGAGCAGGAAATAAATTCAACGGCAGCCGCATTGATGCATGTCACGTCCGACCGTCTGACCGTCCGACCGTCTCAGTTGCTCGTCGCTTTTTACGTGGAACTGTCAGAATGCAGGCAAAAGCTGCGCTCAGCCCGGCCAAAAACCAAAGCCACAACAATAACAATAACAATGGCAAATGCAATGCAATGCTAAGTGCCAAGTGAAAATGGATTTTCGGGGAGTCAACTGTCAAAACTGACAGCAGCAGAAACAGCAACAGCAACAGCAACACCAACAACAAGCAGCAGCAGCAGCCGCCGCAACGGTGGCACCCACTTTTTCAAATTGAAAATTAACTTAGCGGAACCCAACAAAATTTCGGCTGCCTTTTTGGCCCACAAAAAGTGCTCACATTTTCGGAGCAATTTTTTGATATTTTTGGAGGCGTGTGAAAATAGAAATTGATGTCGTCTGCTGCCTGTTGTTGTTCTTGTTGCGTTGTTGTTGTTGTTGTTGTTACTGCTGCCACAACACTAATGAGCATAGATAATATGCTTATTATGTGTTTTTTTTCTTCTTGAGGCAACAAATTGCGCACAATTAGAAAGCATACAGATGCAGCTGGGAAAGCATATATAAGTGAGCCAAAAACTGGCGCCATTTGGGTAAGTTAACCCACAATTGTCAGAGCTGTAATAGAGCTGTTTACTGTTACACGACTAACTGTTTTAGATGAGGAGAGAACGTAAATATGTAGAAATCGAGAAAATGTTGTTGAATTAAACCAAATCAAAGGCTAGCTGAGATTGTTTGTCTATTGCTAGGGGATGCAATACAAAGAAACAGCCCTCAGTTCGCCCCTCCCCTTCATCCACAAATGCCAGCCAACAGGAAGCGTGCGCTCAGCGACACGAAAAAGGCGCGAAGCAATCGATTTGTGGGCTGAGCCATGGCACACCACCCCACCACATCCCACCACAAACCCCACTCACATGACTAGCCACCCTGGTGTTCGCTTTACCCCAGCACCGACGCATTCATTAAAAACGCATTAGAAATGACATTAGGACAAATATAGCGCTCGGTGCGCCACTAAAATTACTTAAACAATAAATAAAACATAAACCTCAATTCCGTGTGGCTCACAGGTTGGAGTCATACAAAGTGTGGTGGTGGTGGTGATTGTAACTGTAACTACTTACTGTGCTGATGATAGCTGGGATAGTAGCGTCGATGGTGTCCATTGCTTTCCAGCGCATAGAATGCGCTCATATCGCTGGTATCCAGTCCCAGGCCGGTGCCAGCGCCACCTCCACCACCACCGAGGGCGGCACCGACGCTGCTGCCCGCCGATGAGGCGCCGCTGGACAGGCTGTGATGGCTGTGGGCCAGGCTACTGCCGGCGCTGCCCAATCCGTTTGTCTGTGGTGAACCGCCGCCGCCACCGCCGCCGCCTAAGCGCGGACTGTCGTACCAGCTGCGAGCGGCAGCCTCCGCTGTTGAGGTCATATCCATTTCGAGTATAATTTTGAATGTTTTTTGCTTAAGATGTGGGCGCGTTAAATTCTACAGAGAATCGATGTCTCTGTTCTCCTCTCTTCTCTTCTCTTCTCTTCTCTGCTCTTCTCTACTCCCCTCTTTTGTTTCTAACTTTCTCTTCTTTTTGCTGTGTGCTTTGAGCAGTTGCGATTTGTATGCACTCGCCGTTTTTCAACACATGCTTATGCAACACGCGTTTTGCAACACTGGGCTAGCTGTAAATGATTATTTGAATTGAATAAGAAACTTTTGAAACTTCTTTACAATTGTCTCAAGCTCTGCGCGCAAGTGATTCAATTTTAACGGTAGCTCACTCTGGCATTCCTTATCAATATCACACCTTTTCTTATCAGCCTCAAGAAATAAAAAAAAGAAACATAAAACCGAAAATAAATGAAGAAAAATAAAACTTTATATTTGGTTTCTAATTTCTTTTTATAGCTTGTGTACAGTTGGCACTCAGTTATGACCAATTGATTTACAATTGCGCGGCAGCCAAAGCAATATATGTACATATGTACGTGTATATGAGTGTGTATAGTACAGGTAAAACAGTTCTTGATTAGAGTTGAGACCAAGGCTAAGTGTGTGGGAAACAAGAATGCATTGCGTTCGCTTTTGATTGATGACAAAGAACAACGAGGCGGTCACATTTTGCAGGATGCCTCCCGGGAGACCTAATAAACATGTCGCATCAGAAAGGGCCACAACCAATTGTCTGTGCATTGTTTCCCACTGTTTGCCAGTGTTTACACTTCAAACTCAACTAATAAACCAAAACAATGTCAAATCTTGCCAATTGAATGCCGAACTCTGTGTGAATCCAAAATGGCTAGTATGCTGATGTCTGGCAAAGCAAACAATATTTGTAAATTGATTTTTATACAACCAGTGATCGCTTAAAGATTAAAAAAGCGTTTCAGATTAGGTATTTTCTTTGTCTTTGTACATTCTTTTTTTAGACTAGCGTTGCCTATTTCAATGTCTGCAAAATAGTAATTTCTAAGAATTCGAACTTTCGAGCAATCAAAGTTTTGGCAATTCAATTTTGACAAATGATATGCTCAAGATAAGGTTTTACTATATCATATATTACTTATTTGGCTTAGAGAAGTCAGTCGTATACCCTACAAAATTATTGAAAAATATTGCCCGTGGAATTATGTCTGTTTGCCAAATAAACAATAGAATGTTGTGCGTGCTGAATTTGACCTAAAGACCGCCTGCCTGCGTGCCTGCCTGCTCATCTGCAACTGTCAATTGTCAATTGTGTTTTGTGGTGCTCGTGGCGCTTGCAACAACTGAATCCTGAGAGCTGCAACTTGTTGTGTGGGCGTCTGACACCGACGGCAACTGCTCTCGTGAAGTGGGAAAGGTGTGCTGGTGCAACTACACCTGGCTACCAATTAGCGATAAACATGCGGTTTATATCCTACGCTCGACTAGGCCCAATTAGACGCTGGGAGTGGCAAAGTGGCATCATTGAGTCCACAAAACATTGTGCATTTATCAACATGTGGCTATCAGTAACTGGCTCTATTTAGACAGGTAGCTGAGCAACGAAAAATAATTTTGAAAAATTCTTATCAGGCTATGTGTATGCTATGGTATCTTCTGGTTGTATCTTTCTATGTAAGTATGTTTAGTTCTTGCCAGATTTTTATCAATAATTTTTTTCATGCGTCGTTGACTACCTTTTTGTTTGTTTTTGTTTTTATGTCTATTTGTTGTTGTTTGCTTTGGTTTCAACCCAAAATTATTAATAATAAAAAAGGCAGCACAACTTTTTGTAGTTGTTGTTGTTGTTGCCTCAAGACCTGTCCAGGTTGTTGTCAATATTATGGTTGTTGCTATTGCTATTGCTGTTACTGTTACTGTTACTGTTGTTGTTGGGCCTCAGATGCCTATCGCACAATTGACAATTGCGGTACAAATAACCTGCCAAATGATAAGGCAACATAACTTTCGTCGATGAATACTGTGGACTGTTTTTCAGTCTTTGATTTCGATTGTTTAAGGTTTGGTTGGTTGGTTGGTTGGTGCCTCGAAAACTCAATCAATTTACCAGAGGCAGCGATATCTGCACTCGAGGCAACTATACATACACATATATAAATGACATTGCTGTTTTGTTATTGTTGTTGTTCTTGATTCTGTCGATTTTTCTTCTTCTTGTTGGGGAAAACACTTTTCATTAAAAATTCAAGATAGCAATAAAATGATAAGCAAACTGTCAAATATTTTGATAATGACACCGACTTTTAACAATGAGTCAGTTATTTATGTGTAATTAAATATATATTATTATTCGATATATACGGATTTATTATGCTGAGGCTGATAGAAGCGTGTTGCCGACACCGTGGCCACCGTTAACATCACATACATTGCAAGTTTTCGTTTCACTTTTTTATTTATCTAGATTCGTAATAAATTGCAAGTTATTTCTTACATTTTGCACACATTTGTTTTGTTTATGTTTTATGTTTTCTTGTGGTTTATTTGAATTTGCTGTGCACTGATTACAACTTTTGTTTTGTTGTGTTTTGTTTTAGCCTGTTTTCGGGGCTTTTGCGCGCTTTTACCGACGCGTTTTTCTAGAGCTTGGCTTGTTGACGTTGCCGTAGCTGTTGTTGTTTATTGACGATGATGCAGAATTGCTGTTGCTGTTGTTGTTGTTGTTGTTGTTATAGTTGCAGTTATTGCTGTGTACAAAACGCACGCAAACGCGACGTCAACACGTATACGTAATACGTAGTAAGAGATCACGAGAAGCGAAACGAGCGAACAACGGACGAACGAGGCACGAGCAAACACTTCAACGGCCGCAGACCAACTGAACCACGAGCGCAAAACAGGAAAGCCAGCGGCAGACACGCGCTGCGTCAGTGTGTGTGTGTATATGTGTGTGTGTTGTGTGTCGCGTTTGCGTGTGCGTGCGAGTGTATGTGTGAAACTCGTCTGACGAGGGCCGGGCTTTGGTATTTGGCACATACAAGATGGTCGTAGCTGCATACGGACAGGCCATGCATTAGAGCGTGATGGCAAGTGTGCTCACATCAATATGCCTGTCACTGTTTGGCTTGCATGCATGGGGCGTGTTTTTTGTTTGTTATGCAGCGCGGCAGGTAAACCGGTTTTCGTTTCGTTTCGTTTCGCTTGACTGTTGTTGTTGCTGATGTTGTTGTTGCAGTTGCATGTTTGTTTGTTTGTAGTAAGGCTTGTCGTTGTCGCTGTTGCTGCCGCTGCTGCCGTTGCTGCTGCTGCTGCTGCTGCTCGTCATGCTCGAGTGCATCGTTCAATAATCTCTCTGTGGCACGCCTCTCTGCGCTCTGCACTTGGCACGGTGCTTCAACGTCGACTCGCTCATGCGCCAGGTGAGGCTTTGGCTTTCGCTTTGGCTTTGCCTATGGCTTTGGCTCTGTATCTGGCTTTGCTTTGCTTTGCTTGTCTGTCGCTCTCTCTCTCTCGAGGCGGCTGCCTCTGCTGCCTCTGACTCTGCCTCTGTCTCTGTGTTTTTGGCCACTGCTTTCTGCTTTTGCCTTTGCCTCTGCCTTTGCCTTTGCCTTTTACCATTGCCATTGCCCGGCTGTCAAACAGTGACAACAATCATCGATCGTTCCGTTTGTGATTATGTGGTTTATTTATGGGCTTTAACATGTGTGCAGATTTGTCTGCCGATTTTGAGTTATGTATGTGAATCGCACACTCTCTCTGTGTGTGGGTGTGTGTTAGTTTATGTGTGTGAGTGTGTGTGTGTGTTGGGCGCACATAAAACTAAATTTGCATAAATTAGCAGCTGCAAATTAAGCTAAATACAAAATATGTCCATGTTTATTCATAGAAGCATTCACCCAATTATACATACATAGACTGTAAGTATGCAAAATAACAAATATGTGGCAGCATTAGTCTTAATATATAACACGTTTGGCCTCCAGCTCTCAGCGTCTGTTTATTTTTATTTTGTATTTTTTTCTCAGGAAGCAGCCGTCGCAGCATCTTTGGCAGCGACGCAAACTATCTAGATACAAATTATTAATATCGAGCTCATATTTTTTAGTGGTTGAACAACTTGGCAAGTTAGCTGCCCGTCTTCAACTTCAGCTACAGCTTCAAGCTGGAGTTGGAGTATTGTGTTGCCCTTGTACAGCTGCTGCGCATAAACAGAAGGCACACACACACACACATGCAAACACCCACACACATAAGCACACACACTCACACATAAATATACACATGTATGTGTGAGGCATGCACATAGGAAGCGATGCTACGTGAGCAGCCTTTTTGGGGTTCCCGCATTGATTTTCGCTTTAAAAAGTTAAATTTTTTTTTTTGGTTTTCTTCCCGAAACTTTTTTGGCAAAAAGGGTTAAATGCTCCGATTGTTGTTGTTCTTGACTGTTGTTGCTTGCACCTGAAATTGGAGCGCAAAGACTTTTGCAAGTAGCTTAAGGATGCTGCTGCCAAGTGGAGCGGCTGTTTGTGAGCATTTTGCCGCAGCTGGACCAAGTTTCCCAGGGCTGCCCCGCCAACATATTTTGGAGCAACGCATTCTCATTTTATAAGTTCATGCAACTGAGATAGAAATCTGAAGAGTTGGCTTTAGTTTATGGCCTTAAACAGCTAAATTTGTGTGGCTGGCTGCCCCAAAAGCAGCAGTCAAAAGGTTGTAATATGCTAACAGATAGCGCCGCCGATAGTAACCGATACATTTTTGGAGACAAGACAAACACACACACACACACACAGAGAGACATAAATATATGTGGTTTGGGAAAACTTGAATTTAGATCGATATGAATAAGATACATGTAGAACAACAAGCACAACATGTCAACAATAATATAAGCATGGGAACAGCTAAAAATTAAGTAGGTTGACGTATTAAATATTATCTAGAAGGGAAACGGAATTAATACAAATACATGCATATAAAATATGCTTCCTCCATTTTTAAGTTGGCTTCTAAGACAACAACTAGTATTAGTGCCAACAGCTGTGGCTAATCAATATATTGTTGGCAAGTGGCTAAGATTAGATTCCCAAATCGAAGTAGCAATACCTAAAACGAGAAAACA